GGCTACCGACAGCGTGAGCAAGGGACACGACAAGAAGTCATCTTTGTCAGGCACCAGGGTGAGACCCTGCTCCTCTGCCGTCTTGACCCGCAGCAGCCGCAGGTAGAAGGCACCGTCGGCGGACACTGAGACGTGTTGCTTCTGGACGTAGCCAAGATCCGAAGAACGCCCGAAGCAGTGCCACATCAGGCATGCTAGGGCAGCATCCTGGTAGTCTGCACCGACTCGGGCGGTGCTGTAGACATAACGAACTAAAGCTTTTAAATCATCTTTCGTACAGGGAGGAGCCTTATTAGTTAGTCCACCATTTTCACGTTTTAAGCAGTGCTTATCTAGCGTTTTACCTTGCTTTAACAATATCAATTCTGTAGCCACACGTAAGTGCGGGTACGAGTCGAATAGCCAAAGTTTCACATTCCTATAGTAGGAAGACGCAGTGTTGCGTGCTAGTTTACCGTTCTTACCTTCATTTGTAGCAAGATAGTAGCCGAATCGATCCATTGCTGCGGCAAGACGTTTGCCAGAATCGTCTTTGAGAATGCTAGCGTGGACAAATTCCGTACTAACACCCTCAAGCTCCAGCATTCTCTTGAACGCGCTGATAGCGGTGGCGCGTGCCTTTTGTGTGTTTGTTGGTACAAAAGCTGAGAGGCTCATGTGCGTGTCTTTTCTCTTTTTGAAAAGTGGTCAACGAATGGCTGTCTACCAACGTCCTTTTCACCTATCCTACTCTAGGATTAAGCCTAGTTGTAAGAACCGTTTGAATATATTCAGAACATTTTTTGCCTTCATGTTTGTATCGAGATATACATGTTTTGGCTGAGCTTCCGACAAATATTAGTCGGAAAGCGTCGGAAGCTGTACACCTAGCCCTAAACAAAATCATTGGTTGAAACTCAGGAGAGACGAGATATGATAGGCTAATATTCACGATTGAGTAGCAACGGAGCAAATCTGTAGAACTATCTGTCGGAAAGATTACTATATTCATCCATAGAATTCATGATGGTACTTTAGTATCGCATGATAACTTAGGTACATATTGAGGCGGTAGGATAGACCAGCCGGATTTGGTCGCGATCTTCTGTCCATGCGACTGCTGTCTGTGTATTGCGTCGAGCTCAACGGCTCCGCCCTATCGACTGCGCAATGCTCCCAACTCTTAGCCCTACAAGGTGCATCAACGCTTCCTTAACCATTTCCAGCTACACATGCCCGACCATAACGTGAGTTTACGCAGGGTCTCAGCTGATACTACTGCTGTTATGCATGACGAAGGTGCTGCATCTCGCAGGGGGTCACATCCGAGGCCTCGGACGCTGGAATGAGGTAGATGTCGTGCTATTCGTGCTGCATTTAATGTTCGTAATGACTGTGGCGGCCTGTTCCGTGGTTGTGGCGGGGGTCGCCTCACTGCACCACTCGTCTGCGTCTCTGATAATCGGTGCGAGTGTCGCGGTCGCTGCCTGGTGCTTCTACGCTGTCGAGACTTTGTATGAGTTTCTGCAGTATAAGAGAGGATCCAAGGTTGTCACTCTGGTTGTGGTACTGACTGCTATTGAGGAGTTGATGTGGAAAGGGAGACCGGTACAGTCCGATATGTTAGTGGTGACGTTGGTGCATTGGAAGGCGATAATTTCGGTATTTGTGGCGGTATTTGCAGTGCTCAGAGCGTTCACTTATCAACAGAATGACTTTAGCACTGGAGATTACGAGAATTTAAAGAAGACGATGGAGAATCCACTGGATCGTGTTGGATGGTTCTCTCAACTCTCGTATCATTGGATCTCTCCATTTATTGCATTGGGGAAGAAGCGGCGACTGGAAATGGAGGACGTTCCTAACCTCCCATTACGCGACAACACGTCTGTGGCTGCTGAAAGATTTAAGAAAGAATTGCAGCGAGAATTTCGTGAGTATCGGGTCTCGGATCGGTCTTTCTTGCGTGTAACCCGGCGGCTGTACGGTGCTGAAGTGATGATGTTTGCTGTATGGTCAACTGTGAACAAAGCTATCGGACTATTGAGTCCGTTGTTGCTTAAACTCTTCTTAGACTGGGCCGATTCATCGAATCCGTCGCTCTCCGAGGGCTACTATCTCGCTGCTGCGATGGTAACCAGGTCGATTCTTTCAGCTGTTTCAGGTACGCAATACAATCTCGCGTGGAAGAGGTTTGATTTACGAGTACGAGCTGGACTGGTATCTGCGATATACGCTCGAACATTGGAGTTATCGGGACAGGGACGACGTGAGGCTGGAGGACTCGGGCGTATCACTAACCTGCTGTCAGTTGATGTGGGACGGATTATCGGTATGCCCAGTACTTTATTCGATATGGTACTGATCCCAGCGGAGATCGCAGTCGCTCTCATTCTACTGAGTAAAGCCGTCTCTGTCGCTTTCGTCGCTGGTGTGGCAGTACTGGCAGTCATGCTACCGCTACAGACTGTTTTGGGCCGTAAAATTCAGAGCGTCACGGTAGATATGATGCGATTCCGTGACGAACGCGTAGGTCTCGCAGCTGAAAGTCTCAAGGCGGTTCGAACGTTGAAGCTATTGGGATGGGTGACGTCGCGTCTTGAGTGTATGAGCAAGAGTCGAGCGCTGGAGATGGGGAGATTGCAAGTGCGCAAGTATTTGGACGCCTTCTGCGTCTTCTTCTGGGCGTCCACGCCGGTGATTGTACAGGTCTCAGTCTTTGCCACTGCAGTCTTCTCTGGTCGAGACGTTTCAGCTGCAGATGCCTTCACGGCGATAGCATTGCTAGATCGACTCATCTTCCCTATGAACTATTTCCCGTGGATTATCAATGGATTTCTAGAAGCAAAAGTGTCAGCGCTACGTATTCGCGGCTTCCTATTTGACAAAGAAGCAAATGAGAATACTATTTTGGAAGATAATTACGAACCTCAATCCAGTTCATGTGAAGAAGTCGTGAGTATCCAGGACTATGAGTGTGCGTGGAACTTTATTAAAGATGACACTAAGGAGGACGATACTGATCGATCAAACGCAGAGACACCCCTTCTAATAGAGGATTGCTCTTCGTCTCCGTCATCTCGATTTGTGCTACGTATCAAGCAGCTACAACTACGACCTGGATCGACTTACGTTGTGTGTGGCCAAGTAGGTTCTGGTAAATCGTCGCTTTTGCTCGCATTACTTGGTGAAATGCCAGCCTGGTCGAGTAATTCTACGGGTTCATACAAGCGTCGAACGTCTTCATGTTGCTCATACTCTCCCCAGACTCCATGGCTGTTCAGTGGGAGTGTGCAAGCCAACGTTACGCTGACCAACCAAGATCGTGTTGATCGTGATAGATATGAGCGCGTTCTGCACGCCTGTGAGCTCAACGTGGATCTTCGCAGTATGAGACGTCCGTACAACGTGGCCGAGAGTGGCAGTAACTTCAGTGGCGGTCAACGCGCTCGAATCAACCTCGCTCGTGCTCTTTATCAGCGAGCAAATCTCTACTTATTGGACGATCCACTAAGCGGTCTGGACGTGACTACAGCCAGTAGAGTGGTGACCAACTGCTTCATGTCGAGCTCAAGGATCTTCCCTGAACATGCCGCAGTAGTTATTGTGACCCACTCGCTTCATCTGCTACCGCTTTTCCCGACAGACACACAGATCCTCGTCATGGACGATGGCTACATTATTGAACAGGGAACTTACAACAGTCTCAAGACAAAAGACCCTCCCAGTCGCTTAATGACGCTGTTAAAGACGCCTCCAAACGAAGAAAGGGACAGTAACATAACTCAAACAACTGAGGAAACTAAAGAAGATGAATCTGAGAACGCGACGGAAGACCAGTCATCAGACGAAGAGGAACATCGTGAGTCTGGTGTGGTAGGCTGGCACGTTTGGATAGCCTATTCGATGGATCTAGGCTGGGTACTCTCGATTGTCATCGTCCTGGCTGTAGCAGCCATGCAGACCTCTCGCAACGCGCTGGATTGGTGGATCGCTGTGTACACGAATGGCAGGCATTCGATCACCCCAAGAGAGTTTGCAACCGTACTGCTGTACATCGCTGGAGCCAACATCTCTGCTGTATTTTTCCGCTCTTTTCTCTTCGCCTACGGTGGTCTACGTGCCGCTCGAGCCACGTACAACAAGCTGGTACAGAGCGTGTTTGCCGCTCCTTTGTGGTTTTTTGAACGTACACCCACCGGCCGTGTTCTCAATCGATTGAGTGGAGACACGTACGCTGTTGATGAATCTTTACCCTTCACTCTCAATATTTTCCTGAGAGATGCAGCGGACGTGGTAGGCGCGCTGGTTATTCTGTTTTACGGGAACCGGTTGGTGTTAGTGCTGCTGGTACCGCTTAGCGTCCTGTACTTCCACTTACAGCGTGACTACCGTCCAAGTTCGCGGCATCTCAAGCGACTGGATGCGGCTACTCAGTCTCCACTACTGGCCATGTTTACCGATACGTTGGACGGCCTTACCGTACTCCGTGCCGCAAGGAAGCAACAGCAGTATATCCACGGGTATGGAGTGCGTTTGAATCGTAGTCAACGAGTCTCGTTTCTCAGCTCAACCACAGGCGCGTGGTTCGGGCTGCGTCTTGATATGCTTGGCGTCTGTGTCACCTCCTTCGTCGCTGTATTCGCCGTAGCTGACTTCAATATAACGGGCACTGTGAACCCTGGTATCCTGGGTCTTACCCTCACGTACGCTCTTCCGATTGTGGGGAAACTCAACGCCATTCTCAATAGTTTCGTGGATTCTGAACGTCAGATGATCGCTGTCGAACGCGTCAAAGAGTACACAGATCTGGATCCTGAAGAAGCTGTGGTTGGAGCTGAAGACACGGGTAAATTGCCCAATGTCTGGCCTACAGCGGGTCATATTTCGATCAAGGCTTTGACTGTAACTTATGGTTCATCAACTCGAAGCTTTGCCACGGTTGAAGGCGACTGGGAGTGGGTGGGGCCACGAGTAGCAGCTCCAGCGTTGAAATTCGTCACGTGTGAGATCCCCGCGGGTCAGAAACTTGGCATCTGTGGACGTACGGGTGCTGGGAAGTCTACACTACTGAGCGCGCTCTTCCGAGCTGTTCCTTGGGAACAGAGCGGTAGTATCACGATCGACAACGTGCCTTTGGACTCTCTTGGTCTTCAAGATCTGAGATCAAGACTTACGTATATCCCCCAAGATGTGGTGCTCTTCTCGGGAACAGTGCGTTCCAATCTCGATCCGAGCGGAGTGTTGGAGGATGAACGGCTTTGGGCGGTGCTACGTAAGTGTGGAGGACTGGTGAATGCGATCGCTAAGCTAGATCGTGGTTTAGATACTGTCGTTGGAGGTGCTGAAGAGCAAGCTGCTACTTTTAGTCAAGGACAAGCTCAGTTGCTATGCATTGCCAGAGCGCTACTGCGACCATCAAAGGTTCTTTGTATTGATGAGGCCACAGCGTCGATCGATCATGAGACTGAACGAGCCATTTCAGATGTGCGTAGTCTGCTTTTTGTGTTCAAATTCTGTGGTTTTCACACTGTTCATTCTGCTTACATAGGCTATTGCTTCCGAGTTCGCGACGTCCACAGTCCTGACAGTGGCTCATCGTATTCAAACGATCATGCACTGCGACCGAGTATTGTTGCTCGACAAAGGCCGCATCGCTGAAAGTGGAGACCCGAAAGAGCTGGTGAAAAACCCGCAGTCGTTATTTTACCGATTAGCGAACTCTGCGAGTGAGAATGGGCTGTTGTGAGCAGAGATTTTTTTTCGGACGCGCTCTTTCTAACATTTCTTTGACAAATACTGGTCATGCGAAAAATATTATCCAAGTAGCATGAGAAAACCCAATGGACAATAAAGCAGACCATGACATACGCGAACTGCTTGTTAAAAAGACTTGAACGGCACTTTGCCCTCATCACTGCTGATGTTGCTCAACACTGGTCTTGCAAGCGCTTACAGATGCTAACATGGGCCACTTAAATAAATAGAAAAGAACTGAGAGTATTTTCCTCGAACAGAGGAACGAGAACACGATACAGAATAAGCAGTAGAGAGTTGCTAGATGCGGAGTGGGTGTATTCGAACTTAGCTTTACCCATTGCCCAGACAACGCCACCACGTCAGTTTATTCGTCCTGAGGCTTCATCTTCGTATTGGCATAAGCCTCACCAGAATCCTTGACAGCCGTTGCGTTCGGGATGCTTACAGGCTCGCACGGGTTGCCGTACTTGATACCGTCAGAATCGCAGACGGGCAACTCACCATCGGCGCATCCCTAATTGGAAGAGGGCCCATTGTTGGTCGGCCAAAGAGGAGGCTCCGTTTTCGCGTTGTTCTGTTCGCACTTTGTGCGCTTCATGTAACACTCGTTCGGGTACATGTTGCCCTCCTCGTCGGCGACGGGCATTTGTACGTCGGGACAGATTTGCGGGCAGTCCAATTCGTTCGATTCGCGTATCACAGGACCGTAGGCATGAACCATGGCGATGGCGGTGGCAAAAAGTGTGAGAAGAATTGCGAGTTTCATGACTGGAAGCGATCTAGTGTGCTGTATGCAGCAAATTGAAGACTGTTCCGATCGCTATTGCCACCATGAGAAGAACTCAAGAAAACCGGTGCTAAATAATAAGCGGATGTATGTAGTACAGTACTTAGTTTGGACTGCATAACAGACAACACTGCTGTCTACGAACAACACGATAGCCAGCATCCTCTCGGCATTCAATGGTAATACAGATCATGTTAGGAACGGCGCATAATTTCGCACAATCTGAAATTAAATACTTCGAAGTACTTAATAGTGCGGTTGCCTGTTTGATGACGGACGTCTACCGTAAACTTCTACGTCAGTGATGATGGACGTTGTCTCGTAAACTTTTCATCAGTGATGACTACAATTTGGGTTATCGTGAAGGGCATTAAAGCATTCAACAAAAAAACTAGCATTCACAGTTCAGTAATTTCACTATCTCAAAGAAAAATACTTCTTCATGCTTTGTCGTGTTTCCTGACGCACGCTTCAATATTGCCTTTATTCTAGTGAATCCGTAGAAGTGTTCGCAATCTCTTTTGCCAAGTTTTCAGCAGCGTTGTCCGCAGATTCAACAATCGTTGGGACCGGGTCGAGTTTCGCTTCAGAACCGACAGGAGTATCCTTTTCTTCCGCCTTTACGGGCTTCTTTGGTGGGTCTTTGAAGATTTTAATCTTGTAGCGTACGATCCCTCGAATCAATTCATCCACAAATTTGGGCAGCCACAACGAGTCTTGGTACTGAATGAAGTAAATATTA